ACATAAACCTGCCATGTCTCATACCCATCCTGGGCCTCCACTCCTTAGAGGACTTCATGTTCTTTCTGTAGCACACTGCAACTCCTGACCTCCCTGTCCCTCAGGCCTCCTCTGTGGCTTCTACCTCTTGCTGTTCCTAGCAATGGCTTTATTGTTATCCCCTCTTATTCCTGGGAGGCACATATCCCCGGTGGCCCCTTGAAGCTTAAACCTACTGTCTTAGCTTCAGTTAGATCTGACTCCAGAGGGGTTCTTGTGAAGAGAGAGCTAGAAAGGGCACAGGAACTCTTCTTGAGAGAAGCGATTCATTGAGCAAAATGAGTGAAAAATAAAGTAGTAACTGGTCAGAACTGCTCCTCCTTATTAAACACTAACATCAAATGAGCCCCTACCATGCGCCAAGCACTATTCCAAGAGTTTCCCTGCATCAATCCATCAAATTCTCTCAACAATTTCATGAGATACATGCCCCTAGAATCCCCGTGTACAGAATGGGCATAGAAATACAGAGAAAGTCGCATGTTCAAGATGAGAATGTTGGCACCACACAGTCCTGCTCAATAACCACAGTACAATGAATTGAACACTGAGTTGATCCCATTAGTGTTACTTATGTGCCAGGCATGGTGCTGTATGAGTTACATGTATCATCTCACCGAATCCCTACAACCACGTCAGGAAGTATACACTGTTAGGGTAGCTGTTCAGACACTGTTTCTATTCCTCATCTGAAGTTCAGAAATGTTACACAATGTAGCCAAGATCCAAACCAAGGTTGGAAGAAAGAAAGATGTGTTTTTTCTCCTGTTGCCTCTACCAAGTTATACCCAACTCATCCCCAGAGAGAGTTAGTGATGTCTAAGACGTGGAGGGCCCTACAATGGAGGCGGGCAGGGAGGGGCAGGTATTTACTCTAATGGGTAGCCTTTGAAAGTCATGTTCATAGAGCTAGGGATAAAAGCTTATATTCATTCACTTTTTTTTTCCAGTCTCTTTTATTCTTTTCATACCAGGTTTCTAGTTACTCATCTTGAGGTTGCAAGCTACCTTTTCTTTTTCATTTTTATTTTCTCACAATATCCCTGGGTCCTGTCTTCAATCATTCTTGCTGTTGCTGCAGCTAAAATGTTTGGGATTATGGAAGGCTCTGAAAAACAAGTCTAATTGTCTTCTTACAAAACAGATATTTCCTTGCTCAGTGTTTTCTGCCTAGAGCAAGGATCGCATTGTTGAGACTTGTAATGGACTCGGTGCTCCTAAGAGAACAGCGCTACCACGCCCTGTGTTACCTCCGGGATGTTTTCTTTCTCTTCAGATCTGGATTTGCGGGGTGACGTTAGGTTCTGGTATACCTGGAACTGTGTGATCAGTCATGGAAAGAGAAGAGCATTCCACACTGATGGAAAGTTATTAGGCTCTGAAACCATTATTGTAATGGAGTCAATTTCTCCAAGGAGGAGGACATCATAACAAGAATAATAATATGTATTACTTAACATTTAGTAAGCATTTACTTTGTGCCATTCTACTGAGCACTTCACATTTTTTATCTCACTTAATCCTCCCAAGCAAAGGAAAATTGAAATACATACTAAGATCCCTCACCAGGTTACAAGTGGTAAGGAAACTGAGACTTTGGAAAACTGAATAACCAGCCTAGGGTCACACAGTTGTGAGAAGTGGAAATAATGCTTTAAAAAATCCACTGGATTCTGCAAAGTCTACCTCCTTGATCACTAACAAGGCCGGCCACCAGTCCAGTATAATCGATTAACACAGCATCACAGAGCTGTGCCAACACAGCAGCATTTATGGGTGCTACTAGAGCTTTTCGGAGGGCCATCTGTGTGTGGTAAGTTATCACCTGAGCTAAGTTCCTGCCACATTGACTGATAGTTCAAAATGGCCTTGACTCTGCCAGACACTTACTAGGTAGGCTCTTACTGTACTTCCAGATGTCATCAAATCCTCATGTGTGGACTTAAATTCACAGTATGTGGCTTGTAGTCCATCTTGTACTGGACCTTCCTCTCTCCTTCTAGCTTTTTAACTTATAACCAATAGTCCTCAGAATCATACTTTAAAGAACTAGAGGCAGGGTCTTATATACACCGCAAGGGCCTCACTTTAGAGCACGCTGATCTTGTTATTGTTTTGGGAGAGGAGATTCAGTTTTGCTTTACACCACTAAGGCTTCTCTGTTTAAGATACTTAGCTGCAGAAACATGGCAAAATAGGTTTTTAAAAATTTTGGCCACTTGACTTTTATAATTTTAGGGTTGATGACACTAACACTCTAAAACCATGGAGTTAAGAAAAATTTTAAGTATCATATGTAAAAGGACAAGGACCAATTAGAAGAAAGTTTAAACTACATATATAAAGCACTAAGAATATGGAGACACATGCATATGTGGGGACAGAACTATCCTAAGTTTTGACCTAAAACTTCCTTAGAAATGAGTTACCCCATTACCCTCACTTCCAGGTAAGAAAACAGAGGGCTCATTGTGCTGGGGCACCTTGTTTGGGGTCATACAGTAGTCAGGGTCAGAAGCAGGGCCACATTTCATGATCCCTTCTTAGGCTTGGCACTTGTTTTTACCACTTGCATTTTTTGTTTCCTGTTTAGTTTTATCTCTGACCTTCTTTGCTCCCTTCCTTCATGGAGTGATATTTTTCATTAAAGAGCATTCTGGCCCATTTGGTAAGAGACCCATATTCAGCTGCCACCCCTGCTTCTAACTCACTGGGACAAACCATCTGCTCTGGTGCCAGCCCCTTGCCGTACCTGTGCTCAGCTGCCTCTGTCTGTCTGTCTGTCTCTCATTGATCCCTAAAGAAGGGCAATGGCTTCCCTGCTGATGGATGAACCCCAGAGCAAAGGCCACATCAATGACAGGCACACCGAATTGTACAATGCTATGAATGTTACAATTTGGGAAGCCCTTGTATCTCAGCCAGGCACTTTTTTAAGGACCTGGAAGCTACAGGCAAGTGATGTAACATGTTCTCTTGCTAACAAGCCAGAGACAAAGATTAAATATTGGTCTTTCTCATGGACATTCAGCCAGAAGTCAAACATTCAGCCTTCCCCCCCTTTACTATGGTGAAGTGAAATATTTGTGTCGGGTGGTTCCAGTGTATTTCATCACCCTAGCTGTTCCTCTGCAAGGGGTCTCTTCCTTCAGAATAGATCACTGGTGTTCAACAACCGTAGGCAGGGTTCTGAGTAGCCAAGACCAGAGAATGCCCTAGAAGCCTCCCTTGCCTTTTTCAGATACTGGATGACCCGAGGGGATTGCTTTGCAAATGCCATGGTGGAGGACAGGAGGTTTTTCACTTCCTGCAGACCTCAGAAGTCTTCTGTTTCATGCAGAGTCCCTAACTGCCACTGGAGATGGCACAGATAGGGGTGCCAGCTGGCAACACACCTGCTGGCCAGCTCTCTGAAACAGGGTCAGTTAGTGAAATCAACATTAATTGTCAAGCCAAGATTATCCTGAACCCTCCTTGGAAAAAGGTAGAAACCCTGCCACTAAAAGGAGGTGGCAGGGAACACAGGTGCTCCTGGGTGTAAAGATTCTGGCTGAGCAGATGCATCTTTTGTTCAATAGTTGTATCTTCATGGATCACATGATGGTTGAATTGCATCCACCCATAATTCACATGTTGAACTCCTAAGCCCCAGTACCTCAGCAAGTGACCTTGTTTTGAAATCAGGTTGTAGCAGATGTGATTGATTCACATGATGTGATTCTGGGGGAGGGTGGGCCCCAATTCAGTGTGACTGGTGCTCTCATAAGAAGCTGTAGATGCACACAGAGAACAGCAAGTGAGCTTGAAGGCAGAGAGGAGGTGATCCTTCTACAAGCCAAGAAATACCAAAGATTGCCAAGAAGCACAAGGTGCTAGGAGAGAGGCACGGAAGAGACTTTCCCATCATGGCCCTTGGAAGGAACCGACCCTGTGGACAACTTGATTCTGATTTCCAGGTCCTGAACTGTGAAAAACGAAGTTCTGCTGTAAGTCACCCAGTTGTGGTACGTGGTTGTGGCGGCCCCAGCAAAACTAATGCTGACCATATTTCCAAAGTTTTGAGAAAGTTAATATGAAGCTCTAACAATCTGTGTAGTCCAGTAACAAGTTGCTAGACTAGGTTTGTATAGTTCACCAAAATTCATATTTCCCTAAGGTAATACAGTGTCTATTTCCACCCAACAAACACCACCACTTCAAGGCCTCAAAATAAACTACAACACCAAACCAAAAAGCAAACTCATTAATAAGACACAGGGCTTTCTGCACAATGCTTTGCAAAGCAGGTTAGTGCTTCCAGACCTAATGACTCAACTGGGACACTTGAGATGTATATTCCTTCCTTTCCCACAAGAAATTTTATAGTACAGCTGTGTACCAGGCACTCTGATAGACCTTAGAGGCCATGTAACTGGCAAGCAGGTTGCGCCACTCTTCACAGTGGCCTGTGTTCGGTGGGGAAGACAGATATTGATCAAACTCAAATATATACATTAACTATGACAAGTGCAGTAAAGGGGAAGCATCGCCACATTTGTAGGCAGCTGCTTTCCTTAGGAGCCTGTGGGCAGGCAGAGCTGTGCTTACTCTGTATTCTATGTGGAGCCTGCAATACTGTGAGTTTTCTCCTATCAAAAGAAAACACTAAATGTTACACTCATGGAGACAACCCACCTGCAAAAATAATCACCTTAATAAAACACAGGCCCCAAAAAGAGGGAAGAGACACTGAAAGTGGTGGAGAAGAGAAGCACAAAAGCAAAGGGGACATGGGAAGAGTTAATAAGAAACTCAGGACAAGACGCTGACATGGCATAACCACCCCCCACCCGCCCCCCAGGATTCATGACTAAGAGTGAAGACATAACCCCAGCACTGCAAGCATGGCAGTGGTGAATGGCATGTAGTCAGGCACAGGGTTTGGTACAGTTGAAAGGATCTTCCCCCAGATCCAAGCCTACCTTTGTTTGCAGCTCTGTCCTTTTAAGCTGGAGCATCACTGTTCAGCATGCTCCTTGTTCTGCACAATCGTGAGCACTTTAACCTGCTGTCAAGTGACGCAGCTGGTCACCAAAGAAGCTGCTGGATGCTGCCGAAAACAGGGAAGAAGATCCATTGAATTAGTCCTAAACATTGCAATAGCAGCTGCCTCTCTCAATTACTTTGTCAAGTCCCATTATAATTGTAGTTCTGATCACAGGCAAGGGTTTCCCGGGAGGGGGGATGGAGCCAGGATCCTCAAAGTGCTGGCATGTACCCCTCACCCCGGGCCACTATACACAGGTCTGCAGCTGCTGTGTCCCTTGCCTTTGGTGGAATTTAACAAGATCAACTGCTTCCTTGGCATTTATATTACACTTAGCATGGGTTATATTTACACCTCTCGCCTGTCGGTGATGACAAGCTTAGATGATCTACTTTGAGATCTCCTGAGCAACCTAAGCATAACTGATTTGAAAATGCTCTGAAAATAATAAATGCCTCATTGCATGAAAACATGAACCCTTCTATTTTCCAAAATAAGTATTCAGGGAACACTTCTACTGATAGCTAGCGACTGGGCTGATGAGCAAATACCACTGGGGCAAAGAAATCCACCACAGAGCAGAAGTAAGCTTGCATCCCAGCACAGAATCCTATGAGGATGCTTGATTCATCCTTGTCTGTTTGAGTTTGCATAATTCAAGCTTGGCTGTGATAGTTGGAGACATCAAACCATCCTTAGGTAACTACTTTTCTCACTCCAATGCCCAGGTGAATAATGTGAGAGGAAAACTTGTCTATTTCGAATGTTACATGGCTGGGCTTCAGAATGTGCTAAAATACATAGATTTATATATTAAATATACATATTTTTCAGCATGTTTGAAAAACATTTAGCATATTTGAAACTGAGTGGAAAAATGGTTTCAAAAGAGGAGACTAGGAATAGGAATATAGTATCTGTGAACAAAAGAAAAGCAGAATGTTCTGGGAATGGGAGCTGGTGGCTGATTTGAGTGATGGTTCTCAAAGTGCGGTCCTCGCACACCTAGGAACTATACAGAAACACAGATTCTCAGGTCCCACTCCAGACCTACTTAGTCAGAAACCCTGTGCAGTAGTGGGGAGGCTCAGCAATCCACAGCTGAACAAGTCTTCCAGTGATTCTGACGCATGCTCCTGTTTCAGAACCACGGAATCAAGACGTGAAGATCAGAGCACAAGGAAGAGAAAAGCAAGCCAGAGCAAACCATCTTCCCCTAAACAGGATTATTAGGGCAGAACATCAGGGTCTCCAGGGAAAGAAACTCTAATCTTGGAGACTGTAAATTATTAGCCAGGCTAATAATCTCAGCAATGATGATAGAGATGAGAAAAGTCATTAAAGTAGACTGACTGTCAAATGGTTCAAATGAATGGTAACAGACCAGATCCCTGTCCTTGGGACATTTGCAGAATTTCTGCAAATTCACTACAAACAGTATTTCCATCCCCAAATTCTTAAGTGACTGAAATCAGCCTTAAGCCCAGGCAGCTGAAGTTTTTGTGGTTTGGCAAGTGTTTGGTATGACTCTCTTCACCTGAATCTGAGCATTTTCCTTCTGAATCGTTCGCTGAGTGTGAAGAATTTGAAATGGAATTAATAAAACACATTCTCTGAGGTTGAAAAAACACAATCTCCCCTGATCACAGAATGGCTAGGTGGGTAGAAGCAACTGACATACAGATAAGAAATATGTCTACCTTGTGTAGCCTTCCTGATTATTTCATATACCTAGGAAAATTCCAAGCAGAGGTCACTGGTCAAAAGGGAATGTTGAAGGGACTGAAAATTCTGAAAAAGATGAATGTGTTATAATAAAAGTGTAGAGTTGATGTGGTTTGTCCAACCTACAGCTAAATGCCAAAGATAGTTCTCCACCCTCCTCACCTCCCCAAATGTTGTAAGTAATGTAGTTATGGGATATTAATAAGAAAGAGTTTGATGTGAATGGAAGTTTCTTTTTCATTTAGCCAACACCGAAAAGACACTTGTGTGCTTAAGTGACATCTATTTGCTAGTCCAGTTCCCCCAGGCTAGGAATGTAAATGCCTGTTTTGGCAAAAAATCCTAACTAGCAATCAAACCTAGGTGTACCAGCCATGCTTGAGAAACATTTTATTTATTCAATGTTCTCCTGTAATGGAAGATGGTGCAAACTTAATTTTGAAAAGACTAGGAATCTTCTAATGAAACTTCTCTTTTGATATGCTTAACTTTTTTCGAATATTATTTTGAGCCTCATATCTCTAACCACAAATAGACATTTTCAAAAGACTCTTTCAAAGGACACCCAAGGTGTTAACTTCAGAGCTCTCAAATCAATTTAATACCAGCTTATAGAAATTATTTCACTGAAAAATTATCATTCACTCAGCCAAGCCCAACTTCATGAGTCCAGGTCCTGAATTCAATTTTCTCTCCTAATTTTTTGTTTGTTTGTTTTTTGGGTTTTTTGTTGTTGTTGCAGCAAGGGTGGCAATGTGTAGTCATAACTCTGCCAAAACTTTTGAGGGCACTAGAAAGAGAAGAACAAAAATAGTAATTTAAAATTTTCCACCTGTCACTACAGCTTTCCTTTAGTACTTCCTGGTCTCATGCTGACAAGACTCATATAATGCTTCTGATGCACATGAATTTTATAACTTTCCCTATCACCTTTTATTCACCAAGAACAGACTAATTATCTCTTGTTTTAAGAGAGTCTTGCTGTCTGGGACACCATACCAATTCCGTGGTTCATCAAGCCAAGTTCTACTTTGGCTCATTTGACAGTGCTCCCCAAAGTGAAGATGGAAAGAGGCCTAGTTCAGATGCCTCGGACCTCATGGCAGCTTGGACGAGAAGAACTCCCCCTAAGAAGCACCAGCCAGATTGTTGCTCAAAGGAATTCAAACATTTGGCTGAGGCTAAATTTCCTTTGGGACTTAAAAAGCTGACCAGTTGTTTGAACTGATACCTAGCCAGCTTTGCTGTGATCTGTTTCTTACACTCTGCAGGCAAGTAGTTGGCATGGGAGTAAGGAAGCTGAACACCTCAAAGGACTCTGGTGTCCAAAGAAGCAAGGCTATGTCACACTGTCACACACACACACATCCACACACAGTCTAGGAACCCCAATTCCTAGAGTGGGGTGTTTGTCAGCCTCAGAAGCACAGTGCCCTTTTGTTCTCCATCTTTCCATGGTCAAATAAATAGAGTTTGACGGTAATTGGAGCCATGTGGATTGTTGGGCATCAGGTTTTGTCAATTGTACAAAACTTACTTTCCATTCTCCACATCCCTGTAAATTTGCACTTACACCATGTACATGATATATGTCAAACCTCATTACAATAGAAGACGCTGAGGACATCCCAACCATGATTATGTCTTTTTCTTCAGACAATATACAATGCAATAGATTCCTCTTATGGAAAAAATATCTGGATAGTCCTTGGGAGTTAGTTTGAAAGAAATGGATAACTGTAAGTAAACAGAAATATTTTGAGAAGAAACCAAGTCTTGTCATTGACATATTTCTTAATATCATTCCATAAATTCTGATTATTATTTACTGATTTATGTGGAGATACAACATACAGGAATGTTTTCGTGTATACCTCATTTTGCCCTCCATACCATCTGCTGGTTCCATCGCTAGTTTAAGTTATTTAGTCTCTCTAGTGTAAAATGAGGCAATTTGCCTATGTAGTCACTAAATTCATTTCTAAGCTCTAAAAGTCTTCCTAAGATTCTCCTCTGAGAAGCCAAAGATTCACATTCATCAGAATATTTCATCCAAGTCCAAACTACTCCACTTTCTTCAAGTCAATCCATTCATTTGCTCAATAAATATATATTGAACATCTACATTCCAGGAATTCTGCTAGACAGAGCTTTTAACAAGCTTATAGTCTAGAATTTCATATTTGATACATATTTATTTTTAAAAGGGCTACATATACATAAAACATCATCCATTTTTGCTTATGTGTGTTAGTGTAGCTATGCCCAACTTGGTCTAGCACCCTAAAATTACAAACATCTACAAATTCAGGAGAATATTTTATCAATTTTGGCCCCATTAGACAAAGAAGTTAAGAGATGATACATACAATTTAATATAAAAACACAACAATATCAAATAGTTTTTCAAAAAAATTAAGGGAATACTAAAGATATTTTTCTTAAACTTTCCAGGTAAGGTAGAAATCAATAATTCCAATCCCTGATTATAAAGACAATTGGAATGAGATTCCAATGAGATTTGAGAAACATATTTGCTGGCAAGTTATGTCCAGCTAACCCTTAACCATTAGCAATTATTATTTAAATCTGTATAGAAATCCAGTATAAGGGTAGATCAACTAGGCAAATAAATTCAGATTTCATTGTGCTAACATTTTTATTAAATTGTAGACCTCAAAGTCTGTTAGATTTACAATCTAACCCAAGTGCTGGGAAACCCTATAAAGTGAGCCCATGAGTTAACTTATCAGTATCCTAAGTATGTCAGAATATTATCTCATTGTTGTCTATCTTATGTCCTCGGAAACATAGAGCTATTCATAGGTAAATGAATTTTAACTACACCAAGATTTAAGAAACACTAGACAAATCACCATGCCTCTGAATATCTCCAACTGACATAAAATTTTCTGAATTTTCCCATTAAAGGTGCCTTCTTTTGGGCTCAGATGCTGGGCAACAGTGGCCTGATTAGAATGATGATGTCCATTCACTGAGTGCCTACTCTATTCTAGACACTGTGACAAAAGCTTTACATACTTACTCTCCAAAACATCCTTGCAAAATAAGTATTACCTCTTGTTTTCCCAGATGAAGTGAAGGTAAGTTGGTCACCTAGTTAATAAGAAGTGGAGCTAGCATTTAACCTCTATGCTCTCCCAGTTATGTCACCTTGGGGCACTGTATTAAGCCATCATCACTTTTGATGATCCATCTAAAGAATTTAATTATACTACTCTTCAAGGTGGCTGAAAACTGTGAGAAGTATTTTCGAGAGCAGGAGGAAATGGCAAATAATACATTGATGGAAGAGGCTTTCTCAGGTGCTAATAACA